CTGTCTGATGGTGAGCGGTTACCATAGCCTACGGAGTCTTCCAGGATACTTGTTGCCAACTTATTAAAAAACTTTACCGTCTATTCTTAAAAAACCCTATACTGTAGTCCTTCGGGAAAACTTAGAAGTAAAACCTTTTCATTACACTAATATCTTTAGTTATCATCATAATACCACGGTACAATTATAATACAGTACTCCAACTTCATACAGACGGACGAAACGCGAGCTATACCTACGCGCCTCGATCTCGGGGTGCGCTCGGGGCGCAGACAGTCACGGCTGTACCGCAGTGGGGACGGACGGTGCGTTGTTTTTTTAACAATAAAAAATCAGTTAATATGACGAGTAGAAAATATTGTGCTGTTTTTGGTTGTATGAATTCGTCAATAACGCATCCAGACATAAGTTTTTTTAAATTACCTGGAAACTGAAAGGTAAGACTATAAAATAATTTTACTTACTAGTAGGTAAGTACATAATGTGTCTTTTTAATGGATAAGTATTTCCTTTTATCTCACCAAAAAAAAGGTGTTTGGATTAATAAATAAAGCGAATAGAGTAACGGAAAGTTATTGAGACGAGTGAAATAGGTAGTTATATGCGGTTCTGAATGAATCATGATACGGTAGGTACCTACCTACTTACGCTTGTGTTAAAACTTCGGTGCATGTGTGTTTTGTTACTTTGCATAATTCAAAGTAAAGACGTGGTATTTTATTATTAATAATATTTGTTTATTATCTGTGTGTATGAATAATACTAGATTTTTTTTTTACCGTCTGTGTGTAATTAGATAGGTTTCAAAATTCTCAAAACCTAACGAAAAATACCTGACACTACGCAGATTTTTTTCTTTTAAAAAAATAATAATTATGCAATAGCGCGGCAGTCTCCGAGAGTGCCACATGTATATCTTTTTTCAGACGTCTTCAATGGTTGCAACTGATCCGGCGAGATGATTTTTAAAACAAACTTGGTAGGAACTAAACCTAACTTTAGTTCCTACCAAGTTTGTGAAAACATTTTAATTTGGAGGATGTATTACATTCATCAAATAGAAAACTTTTAAAAAAGAATGCCCTACCATTGTTGATGCTGCCAAGCTTAGCTAGTACTGATCCAGGAGTCTCTCTAAAAGAAGATAAACAAACCCAAACTGCTCCGTTGGTAGGAAATGAAAATAGTACACAGACTGAAAATGCAACAAATGAAATCTTTGCTCAAACCTCAACGAGTCTCTCTAGCAACACTCCAAGAAAAAGAAAATTTAAACTTGAACTCCTCCAATGCAGAAAGAAAATAAAATAATTAAATCTACCAATCAAAAAACAACACGCATTTTTATTGAACACTTCCTATTCAATATACAAAGTATTTCATTTATTAATATAAAAAGGATATTTACAATCACAAATCTAAATAGAAACAGAAAGTAGGAAAATATAATTAAAATGCTGAAGACGGGCAGCCCTAACGCATGTTTACGTACCGCGCGGCTGTAGGCATTTATTTCTATCATGCGGCCGAGTTACACTACTGTATTATAATAGTACCGTGATAATACCCTCCGGCGATGTTTTAAATTTCATTTCAGGTTGACCACCTGTGTAAAATAGCAAAGGGTTTTTGATAATATACCAAGTTGAGATAAAAGCTGGCTTTCCTTGAACGAGGGCCAGTTTAAGTTGACTGAAAGATCAGGCAGGCAAACTTCAATATACGTATTCCGTAAAAATAATTGTTATGTTTTTATATCATTACAAAACAGAGGGTTCACAATAGGTCCATTACTCAAACAAATATATAATAATTATAATTACGTAGGCAGTACATTTCACAGCGCACCACAGTGTACAATGTGCGGGTTGTATGGCGAATATAAAAACACATATTTTACTTAGAATATTGTGTCATAATGCAGGGACTTATGACTACGTTGCATAATCGCGTACGCCCGGTGCGCAATTTTGTTCACCGCAACTAGAACGTGAGATTCACAAACAAACTTTATCTGGTATTATTTTTTCCACTCAGCTTTATTGTTACTGTACAATTCTTATTTTTTCGTAATATACACACAATTTGAAATTTTACTAATCATTGGTTTCATTCATTACTGTTTAATTAACATACATCCCGCAAGTGAAGGCGCAAGTGGGAGACGTGGCCTATCCAGAAGTCAAACAGATCGCAGGAAATAGAGAAGGGTGGCGATTGCTCCACCGACAAGGGCTTAGCTCTTAAATTGAGAAGAAGAAGATACACATTAAGTAGCTATGTATGTGTGTATGAATATGTTTATATTTATTTAATTATACCTTTTTTATATTCACTAGCAATTAACCTGTCAAAACTCATTGCCCCTTCAACTACTACTGTCTCTCCGAAACATTTCGATCCGTCCTAATTTTGAAAGGGATTGCTCCTAGCAATAAGGCCGCTCTTTGTACATGTCTGACAATTTTACGTACTATACTATTTTGTAAAACGGTGTACAAATAAAGAGTTTTCTATCTATAAGTTTTTAAAAAAAAAAAAAAAATTGTTCAGTGAGTAGAAAAATATTTATATGTCGTTGGAGTCGAGGAGCCATGCTCCCGCACAAATGAGCTCGACCGGTACCACGTACTTTTCGTTGCTTTTCACCGAGTGAGTGACGTCACAGGAGCTTAAATCTCTCTCTTTTCTTCCCCGATACTGGGCAGAAGAACTCAAAGGTAGAAAATGAGATTGTAACTCTCGAGTTATAGGTATCCATTTACCTTTGGATGATCCGTCTGCTCGTTTGACCTCCTATGAAATACAAAGAAATAAAAAAAGATTTGTGCATACATTTTGTCATCAAGTCTTGCAAAGTTTACCAGAGATTTTTATAAGTATTTAAAGAATTTTCCGTATCCGTTGCAGAATCGCTTTTCATTAATTAATCAGAGACACAAACGGATTCATGGAAAAGTGATTCAAAGCGTTCCCATTTAATAACACGAATAGTTCAAATTATGACGTTCATTTATATTAATGAAAATGTTTGAATGATCAAGTATGATCAGTTATCGCCGCCCTTTGACGCTACAAGCACATACACAAAATAATAAGTCATTTAGAGAAATATGTTTTTTTATAAAGGCCCTTTATCTCAATCTTTATCTAGAATTATAAATATATAATTACAAACACTCCCTCCTTTTTCCCAAAAACGGGTAGGCAGACACGTGTTAAACACCTACATTATGTCAAACATAACTTTAGTTTCACTTACGTAATAGGGAGCATATTGCCAGTATCACCCGGCAATTTAGGGCTTAGAAAATATGACAAACACGAGACATGTGACTCAGAGGCCGCGGTTAGCAAGCTTACCTTGTCGGAGGATCATCTCTTTGTATTGGAGAGATATAACTTCGTTCTTTCCCAAATTGAGAGCAGATAAGAAGGGAAAGCAAAGTAAGGAAAGATATATTGCCTATATGGAAGAATAGGGTAATGTAATAGCTCGGACAGGTCAGAGTCACATAAAAATTTGTCTCTCTCTTTCCCTGTCTCTCTCTCTATCTTATATTATAAAATAAGTAATATATTACTAAAATGTAGTCCAAATAAAACTGCTTAAAAATTTGGTTTTGCGTTTGGTCATTGCACCGTATATGTAGTCGTTGTTTACTTTCGTTACGCACGACGCGAGGGAACTAATGATGTGGAAATTATAACCTAGTCGCTCGGAACACCCAGATCGTAAAGTCACACATTAAATACACATAAAACATAAATTATATACAAATAAACAAACCGACGAGGTGATTTCCTGAAGTGGTATTACCAAGTTGTCTGGGAAGTGTAATATGAATGAAACATGGAAATAATTTATTTAAGCTAACAAAGTGACGTGAAATAAATTAGCTACAGCGGCTTTAATGAGTCGCTTTTAGTGTAGGAAACGTTTGCCGGTTCACTGAGCGATAAACATGTTGTAGGTTAACCGTGTGTAGTGGGCTAGATATATCTCTATGTGATGTTAATGAACTTTAAAAGATATAGCACTGAATTCAATGCTTCTAAATCTTGAAAAATTGCATTGCTTTGTTTTTTCGATCATTAATTTTCTTCGTTCGGATATGAAACATTTTTTTAACTTCAAATTCCAAAATTTCAAATTGAAAGACCTTGAATGTTAATAAATTTAATTAAAACTGAAAATAAAAATGTGGTTCACAAAGGGCCAAGGTGTTGTGTAATAAAAATAAGCAGTCAAATTGAATACAACGACTAATTATTGAAGTGTATTAATAAAATTGTCAATTTAATCTAGTATTAATTATATTATTAAAGTTGGATAGAAAGTTTAAAATAAAAAAATATCAACAGCCTTTAATAGTACACTGCTGGAAATAGGAGCCGACATAGTTCTCTCATTAAAAATTAGGTTTTGGCCTACCACCACGTTGTACAGACCGGTTGGTATAGGGTCTGTTTCAAGTTTTCCTTCTCATTGCAGTGCTGTTGTCCTACGTAGTTTGCTCCCTTAGTCAGCTCTTACGACACCCACGGGAAGAATAGAAGCGGTGAGACACTGTATTCATAATCTAAACTCAAAACTATCATGGTTTTATTAACATGTTTTAAATATGCCTCGGGACTTGTATCAGGGCCTATTATTATTTGCCTAGTCGATATCAGGCGTTGTACCCCTTATAAAAGTCACATATGGGGTCCAACGTTATCCAGACGTACCCGAAATACACACGTGAGTGAAATTGTACGTCCTTCATAATATTTATAAAACTTGTTCAAAACTGTACCCTTATGAATATCTTGGAAAAAATTAATAAAATTACACTTGGAGTGTTTGGTTCCTCTAAATATATAAGACATGGTGATAGGCTGATTGCTGTACTGGTTTAAAAATGAATTGTAATCTGCGCTCAGCAGATTTATTTGAGCACTTAAATACAGATAGGTACCTATTCATTAATAGGTTTTGAGTTTCCCTGCTGAGCGCGTTAAGTAATGTTATAAATGGAACAGGAGAAAATGTTAACAAAGCATGGTACAGCGTCCAATTCTATTGTAAGAATACTCACAGTTATCCTCTTGAGTTGGCGTTTGCCCTTGTACCACGTGACGACAGCGGGTGGACGACTGCCGGCCGATTCGCACGCGACTTCGTAACGACGCTCGGCTGTCAGCACACCGCCCTCGCCGAGCTCTGACGGCTTTTTTATCTCAACTGTGAGTGGCCTCACTGTGGGAGTTAAGATTATTTTTATTGAGATTGATTTTTTCTCTTATTCATATGTGTAACTGTTTGAACAGACAATGAAATCTATTTTGTTCGATTACACCTATGTCTACACATGTGTGTCTTCTAATGTGGGTTGTAGCAGTCTGGCAGTCTATTGCAGTCTCTTTATCTTATGTATGAATATAAGACAACCAGACTGCAATAGACTAATTGATGAATGGTCTGATCTTGTGTGTATAAAAAATAAACATGTTTTTCTCATGACTACTTACAAAACATGTCCAATACGAGAGATAGTTCCTTCGGCGGTATCAGATGCGAGTTCGTGGCCTGACAAGTGAACACAGCGGCGTAGTCGGCGCGCCGTATAGCTGGCCAGAGGAGTCTGTTCTCTATGACGTCGCCGGTGTTATGTTCGTACTCCTCGTCCACCAGCACGCCGTTGACGAGCCACCGCACCGATGGCTCTGGACGACCTGATCAACAAAAGACGGGTTTAGTTTAAATCCGGTTCAACAAATTTTGATGAAGAATTATATAATTTTATAATCAGCTTATCCATGAATAAATGTATGAAGTAACTTGGAATGGTTTCATTTAATAAATTACCTGGATAAATATTATTGCTTCCATCAACTAACAGATCAGGTCAGTCACTACAGATCATATCCTACGCCTTAATAATGTATTACATAGATTACAGATATCTTAGGCTTTCGTATAGAAGCAGTCTCCATGGGCTCAGGGTCTGTCAGAAGTCTAAAATAATATGTTACTAGCAAACATACCCGTGGTCGTACCTAGGTTTATTTTTTCACACAAAATGGTTACACCCTCTAGCACCCTGTATCTGTACTCGTATGTGTAATTCGAATTATCCAAAACACTTTCTCATTGCTCACCTACCTACACCACGAAATTTTCCATCCAAAAATGTGTCTCTAACTTCAGCCGTTTGGGCTCTGGGCGTATGCCAAGTTAGTACTTAGATAATTTATTTTTTTGGGTTTACTTAGGTTCCTCCAGGTCAGAGCTAGGGTGGCTACGCCCATGGCAGTCTGTGTTGGGATCCAAAAGAAATAATATGCATTGAGTAGCGCAAAATGTGTAAACTGTAAGAGTATACTGGTTAGTATGATTGTAACTAAGATCGCGTTACAGAAATCTGCAACTTCACAAGAAAAACTAATTTCTCTGATTTTACATTCAGTTAGCTTGTTGTCTCATATTTTCAGATGTATCATACATTTATAGATGTATGTTTAAGCTAAATACCAGCTACCTTGTACTTGATATTTGTATGTAAGATTATTTATTACCGAATAATTCGACGGGCCTATTGGTCTAGTGGTTAGTGGCCCTGACTGCTAAGCCGGAGGTTGTGGGTCCGATTCTCACCCAGGACAAATATTGTGCGATGAGCACGGTCATTTGTTCTGTGTGTGGGTGTAATTTATCAATAATATGTACGTATTTATATGCATACAAGTATGTTTATCAGCAGTCTGGTTACCATAGCACAGGCTCTGCCTAGTTTGGGATCAAACGGCCCTGTGTGAGGTATATTATAAAAAAAGATGTGTTATTCATAATTTTTTGACACCTATCCTACCTACCTTTTATATGTATAATATCAGTAAAATAAAATAAAATTTTAGGTGTGTGAGTGATAGGTATGCATATTTTTTGCAGTACGGTTTTACTTGCTTGTATATTTCGGGAAGGTCGTTTCCCTCTATTTATAGAACCCCCGTCGAGTCCGAAACTAGTCGGGCATTTTTGAAAAACACACGACAGTAAAACCTTACATTTTTAAAATTCTTTCTTTTTTAATTTTTTTCGTACAGGAAGTTATTCAATGGCCCAAGCATATGCAAATTTCATTGTGGAGCCAAGAACAAGTAAATAAACCTACTACAAAACGTACGAGAACAAAGATAGAACCAGAAACTTTGAGATTACAATGAAATAGCAGCACTTTGTTCGGACAAAAGCCTTTAAAGAGGCATCAATTCAACAAAACGTTAACATAATCCGAAAGCTTCAACAAACAGCCGCGCACTGAAATAAAACGAAACATCTTGGAGGCACTCGTTTTGGGAAACGTAAACATAACGATTACAGTACGCCAAACGCAATTTTCAATGCTTTCATTGGTCTGCCGGTACGTACCTAAATAAATTTGTGCGAAAGCATTCTCTTTTAGCCCTTTGTCGTCTGTTTGTGTTTATCCGGCGCAGTGTGTGCGCTTTTGTTCCGCCGCGGACCCGCTCCACTATCCAAGGATCCACTTCTCCCAAATTGAATTAGTTCACGTCTCGAGTTCCACGAGATCTAATTCGAAATGTCAATGGCTTTAATCTGGATTTGTGAACTAAATAGACATCCGTGAGACAGTTTGGAAACTGAGAACCGACCTCTTGACGAAATTATTGCGATTGGTTTGCATTTATATCTGAAGCCCTTTGATTTGAGATATAAAATTCTATCCAGTAAAACAGATGTCTAGAAATCACTACAATATCGATTTTAACACGTATAATATCTTTAAGAAGTCTTACATAAGTACTTGGCTAAGCCTTGGCGTGTAGTATTAATAGCTATGGATATTTTCTAAGAATCCTTAGAATTTGACAGGTAGGCGTTATAAATACCGACGTCAAGGAACACCAATAACCAGGCACTTAATTTCATACCTACCCCACACAGCCTTTACAAAATTGATCTAGTTCTTAATCTACCTTTCATAATTGCGGATCGGGGTCAAGAGGTCTATTGTGACCGCCTCGGCCTAATTTATTGTCGCTGCTCCAGCGTACGGTACCTTTTCTAAATCAAAAGTCGTAAGGCGAGTGCTTCCGCAAAGCTTATTGTTTAGTTTGTTTTTCCTTTTGATAAACAACGTCGTCGTTTCTTTGTATTGGATTTCAGTGTTTGCTGTATAAACAGAGTGCCGGCCCTCGTGCGTCAAGATTTAATAATTTATTAGAGTCGATACCGACTCACGCTTCTCGGCGATACTGTCGTTCAATCTGTACTGTCCGTGTACGCGTCCGATGAACACTGCAAATGTTTGTGTAACAAACGTTTAGACAAGGATATGGAATAGGCATAAACGTCATTATTTTTATAATGACGTTTTAGTATTCACCCCTCTTAAGCGTATAAATTGATTGTGTCAGAGGGAGGTGCCCTTCGGTTCGGCACATTACACCGGCAGAGAGCGGAGGTCGGGAGCAACAGGCTCCCTGATAAAAAGCCGTCGCTCGGAAACAAAGTCGAGGCTCCACTCCCGTCATTAGAAAGGCATCTGCGTTCACAAGAATTGAATATATTTTTTCTCTCGTCCGTATTTTCAGGGAATACGCTTCAATCAATTTCTCGATTATGCAAATTTGCTGGCCTCCCGTCAATTCAAATTTCATTTCGTGACGGTAATCTTTTGGAATCCATTTTGATTGGGACTGTTTCATTTTAACTTTGTGATTTTTAAATGTTGAGAACCATTTACGTCTTAAACGGTAAATATACAAACGAGAATGCAATTCTGACCTAATGAGAAGAAGGATTTTCCACCTCACCAACAAAAAAAAAAGGTATCTGGGTTCACCTATTTTTACCAGAGGCAATTTTTACTATTAGACAGCTTTTAATAAATCAAAAATTGATCTACCTACATATCTTAACATTACTTTGCACACCGTATTGATTGACTATTATATATAAATAATCTTCATAGAATATATAAATATTCTTCATATAAACATCAAGAATACCAAAGATGATTATGAAGTATTATATAAAATAATAATATAATATAGACACAACGCCATCTAGTTTCAAACTAAGCAGAGCTTGTACAATGAAAGCTAGATTGACTGATAGAATACTTATATACTCTTTTTTTTGGTAAATGCATACATATTATAGATATAAAACGACCGAATGGCGTAGTGGTTTCTGTAACGGACTGCTATCCCAAAAATCGCGGGTTCGATTCCCGCTCAAGTCAAACATTTGTGTGCATGAACATTTAATGTTTGATTTGGTCTGGGTGTTTCTATGTATAATATGTATGTATTTACAAAAAAAAAGTATATATGTATTTATATCAGTTGTCTAGTACCCATAGTACAAGCTCTGCTTAGTTTGGGACTAGATGGCGTTGTGTGAATGTGGTACAATATTATGATTATTATTATAAAAACACCCACACGCCGAAACAAATATTTGCAGATCATAAAAACATTAGGTCCGAACCGGGAATCGAACCCGAGACCTTTGCACAGCAGTCGCATACGCTACTACTGCACTACCGACACATTGAAAATGCGTTCAACCACAGCATCACACTCCTCACGGTTCCCTTTCAGTAGCTTTGCCATTAAAACTGAATAATTTTGTTTAAGAACAGTAATTTTCGTCAACCACACATTTCACTAATGAAATTCTATAGTCGTCATTAAAGCCTGGTACACAAGCTTTTAAGTTACACTCATCACCATCGTACACAGCCGTACACAGGCTGAATGGCTTCGTCGTTTGATTTCGTTCAGTATTATCCCTCTCCCTGCTTGTATTGGGGCGCCGCCGTATCCACGGAATCGTGTTTTGTCGCTTAAAAGCGTTTCTGTGTCTGCAGTCGTCTAAGGGGGAAGAAAAATATACCTCACTGCACTGTAGACAAACTGACTTATGTATATGTATTATGATTATTTTAATAGTTAGTATAGCACCATTGGTAATGGAATTGAATTTTGTAATATGTGTCATTAACGATGTTTCTATTTTGGAACGTTGTTAGTTATTGATACCTATTCCAAGAGCTTAAATGTCAATTTTGTAGATGTACTTTGTGGTAAGTATGGTACATTTGATTAAGGTAAATCCGTCTATAATTAAGAGAAGCTCGTGTCGTGTACAAAGTATGTATTAGTTGTAAATTTAGTTAATAACTAGTGCCTTGTATAGTGAAACACATGGCGGCCGGTTGTCTCTCAATGCTGTTTCAATTCTATTTTCTTAGTTTTCTAGCCTTATCCATTTTCCTTGCCTCACGATACCTGCGTAGGCATACTCTCACGTCTTTTATTCGCTAAAGGATAGACCGAACGAAGGAAGGATAGAAGGTTTGCCGACTATTAATTTAGTCCAGGGTTATAGGGTTCAAGCCTATTACCGCCAACCGGGCACACATACTGATTAATACGCATACTTCTACATATCTATTTGCATCATCATCATTATCAACAGCATATAAAAGTCCACTGCTGGACATAGGCCCCTCCTTAGAAAGGAGGTTTTAGCCTATTATACGCTGGCCAGACGGCTTGTAGGGCTTGTGTCAAGTTTTCCTTTTCTTTGCAGTGCTGTTGTCCTGCGTAGTTTGCTCCCTTAGTCGGCTCTTACGACACCCACGAAAATAATAATGGGTGGTGACACTTCGTACTCTTTCTCTTTATTACCAAACGGACTATTTATATACATATTATAAATAAAATGCACCTAGACACAGAACACCGATTTTTTACCTGGGTGGAAATCGGGTCCACTACTCCGGCTATGCCTTTATGGCACTCAGGATCGTTAACCACTAGACTAACATTCACTTTTATTGGGGGAGTCAACATAACTCCAAACAAAAATGGTTAAATTCGGGGAAAGATGATGATTAATCAGTTATCGATATTTCAATCATCCACTCTTTTATTAGTCTAAATTAATTGTACAGCAATTTTATTTCATAAGACAAAATGTTCGTTCAGTGGTTAACCTAGCACTGACGTCAGGGACCTAACACACTATCTTTACTGTTATGATAAATAAAGATTATTATTATTAATAAATCATCACATCTAAAACCAAGGTACACAAAGTTGGGATACGAGTATTTCTAACAGTACAAAGTATAAAAATAAGAGCCGTTTTCAAAGAAAAACATACAGGTTGTGTATATGTCAGTTTCCCGGAAGGCGAGGCGAGAAATAACAAGGAGTGCGTCACCCCACAGACCTCCAACGCGAGCCTTATTACATTTCCGTGCCTTGTCTGCCGGCGCTGCTGGAAACTTTAACGTCGCGAGGTGAAGTGGCCGTGTTTAGTTTGGGTGTGTGAATATAAAAATGCTTATTTATAATGCGAATGTGTTTTTTGAATTTAAACATATTTTATTACATGTTGGATACATTACAGATTCACCTAAAACATATCGAAAGAAATGAGGCGACTCTGAACAATTTGATAATTTATTGTGGTGTGATCATTGTAATTAAACCCTTTTCCCTAAGCGTCACCTTCCTTAATATAGTTTGTCGTTTTAGATCATTAGTAAAGAAAAGGGAAATATAGGTAGCCGAATATATTCTGCTTATATTCTGCGCTATATTATCTTGGAAACACGTAATTTAATAATAATATTTCGGACATCGGACACACAACGCCATCTAGATTCAAACTAAGCAAAGCTTGGACTATGGAAACTAGATTGACTGATAGAATACTTATATACATAGTATACATAGAAAAGACCCAAACTCCGAAGCAAACATTTGCAGATCATCCAAATATTTGGTCCGACCTCAGAGTCGAACTCAGTCGAACTGCACTACTGGTACGGGAGCTAGCAACGTTTGGAAAGTAAGAATTTTAGGTCAGCTGATTTTGTGATATGTCGTCCTTCTTGCACTTTCGGTTAGACTCTGGGCTATCTGGCTGGCGGTAGCGGTTGCGTTCATTAGTGCGCATCCTACCTGTCCAGGTAGTAATCCTGTATTTTAAAACCATTTTAGAAGGCGTAATTTTTAATTTTTTGTTTTTAAATAAGTCTACCTGACATACTTTTTTTATTGCCAGACATTTTTGACAATGCTAACTATGTGCCATACGCGATTTTATTTTATTTTTTTATAAAAATTTCAAAGTATTTTATAATGTCTGTAATTTTAATATTATGTTATTTAAGATAAGAAAAACTTAAAATAAATTTGCCAGACATTAATTCGATTGTTAAGTCTTGAATTAAAATTAAAAAGTCATGAAAAGTATTGCAGTATAATGCTAGTAGTCCGAGAGAGATAGTTGCAGAATAAGTCGAGAATGATACAGAGAACCATTACGAAAGTAAATTACTTTTCACTGTGCATATAATTAAAAAAAATAATAAGAATAAGAATAATAATAATCATCATTCTAGTCAGAGCAAGTTTCAAAAAAAATTTTAAGCATAAAAAGGAATATAAAATTAGATTAGTCCATATGGGACGATGTAGTCGCTCAGCGACAGTCCTTTTATTAATGAATATAAAAAAAAAATTAGATTAAAATTTAAAAAACAACACTTTTTATTTAAATAAACAACACTTTTTATTTAAATAAACAACACTTTTTTTTATGTAAATTATAAATAAATTAATATTAAGTTTTTCAAGTTATTTCAACCAAAGTTACAAAAAAAAGAGGCATCTTCATAATCATCATCATCATCGTCGCTGTCTTTGTCAGTGTCATTCATGTCATCTTCTTGGGAACTTTCGTTATCTTCTAAAACTCTATCATCTGCAACAGAAAAAAAATAAACAGTTCTTCTAGTTCGTTATAAAACATTTGTTATTATTGATAAATATTCCATTTCACACTTACTTTGAACAATAATATCTGCAACTGAGGATGGTAATTGATCTCCCAAAAACCAGACAAAATCATATTTGTCACCGTTAATGGTCCAACCGAAAGTCATTGGAGATAAATATGTTGGATGTTTTGAGTGAGCATTTCTCCAAATTTTCGTCACGTAACGAACCCTCTTGTACTTGAAAATAAATGAAATCGAACATCATTAACATTGGAACAATTTTTAACTCCATACATTTGACAAATAAATTTCTCCAGGGTTACAAACGTAGTTTCAAGTATTTCTTCGTCATCCGTAATAATATTATCAAAAGCTAACTGGTATTCTTTAGAATTTTCTAATATTTTAAAAGGCTTAACTTTGCCTTTTCTAAAAAAAGCTGGCGTGTAATCACATCCGGTTATTGCGTGGAAGCATGGTAAAGCTTTGCATAAAGAGTCACCAAGAATTCGGTGTAATTCATTGATGTTTATGTAACGCTGATGATTTCCAACACCCATATTTATCCAAATTTTCAAAGATGCTTTCAGGTGATCCATATTTCCCAGAAGTATAATTAAAATATCAGAATCAGAACAGCGTATAACAACGTCTGCGTCAAAATCGATTTGGCAAATATGAAAAATAATCCTAGAATCAGCTTCGGACTACTAGCATTATACTGCAATACTTTTCATGACTTTTTAATTTTAATTCAAGACTTAACAATCGAATTAATGTCTGGCAAATTTATTTTAAGTTTTTCTTATCTTAAATAACATAATATTAAAATTACAGACATTATAAAATACTTTGAAATTTTTATAAAAAAGTAAAATAAAATCGCGTATGGCACATAGTTAGCATTGTCAAAAATGTCTGGCAATAAAAAAAGTATGTCAGGTAGACTTATTTAAAAACAAAAAATTAAAAATTACGCCTTCTAAAATGGTTTTAAAATACAGGATTACTACCTGGACAGGTAGGATGCGCACTAATGAACGCAACCGCTACCGCCAGCCAGATAGCCCAGAGTCTAACCGAAAGTGCAAGAAGGACGACATATCACAAAATCAGCTGACCTAAAATTCTTTCTCGAAAACGTTGCTAGCTCCTATACCATACTGAGGCAGTCAAATTCATTTACATCTACCTACTTTTGTTTTTTAATATTTGAAATACTAACAAAGGCGTTCAAAATGATATGAAAAAAATGTAAGTACTCGTAGCTATACTTCCAGAAATAAATCGTTTATTTATCTTCCTCGCAATTTTAAAAACCAAATCTTGGCAAATTGGCGTTTGAACGATAAGAGCATTCTCGTGTCCGCTCTCCGCTGAGCAAACAACCTTGGCATTAACACCAAGAACCTCTTCCAATTCCTATATATCAACTTTCAACGTGTATCGATATCGTACGGACAGTATATTAAAGCAGCAATCTTTGAAGGACGTTATATTGGTTTAAGAATTTGCAACAAATGGTTATGTAGATATTTAGATCACATCACATAGAAAAAAGGATCTACATACGAGGACTTATATTTCAGTACGTCTTATTTACTCGCGTTGTAATTTTTTTTTATTTTTACTTAATTGGTAGATACAGTTACAGACAACAGATCATGCCACACACACAAACACATAACAGCGTACAATTTCAAATCTGAAGTCCAATTAAAACTATATACATTCACAATCGCGGTGATAGAGCTTCAATTAGGTGTTAAATAAACGCAAAAAAAAAAAAAAAAAGATTATTAAATAAAAAATGAGATGCAGCAAATTGACTAATTAGTTATATCTACAAATGTGTTACTATAATTTTACATTGATAGGTATATACATTTCAGATTTATGTTAAAAGCACTTAAATACATTTATACTATCATTAAAAATATCTGTTTGCGACCATATATCTTTATAACGACTACACATTAGAAAAACAGGATTGTTGCGTGAAACATTGTTGTTGCTAGTTGGTTGTTTTGACTATAAAAGACTTTAGCAAACATGATAGCAAATCATTTTTGAAATGAAATACAAATAACCCGATTGCGGGGAATTGTATAGGTACTTAAAACTCACCTACCAATTTCTTTTTTTAAGGGGGCAAACGAGCAGACGGTTCACGTGATGAAAAGCGACCACCACCGCCCATGAACGCCTGCAACTCAGGAGTCACAAGCGCGTTGCCAGCCTTAGAGGAAGGAGTACGCTCTTTTCTTGAAGGTTTGAAGTTCGTATCGGTTCGGAAATACCGCAGCAGATAAATTGTTCCACAGATTGGTAGTGCCAGGCAAAAAGGGTCTTGACAAGCGCACGGTGGTGGAGCGCCAATTATGCAAGTGGTGGGGATGAAAATTTTGCCGTGTGGAACGATGGCGGAAGGTTGCGGCCGGTATTGTTCCGAACAATTCCTCGGAGCACTCTCCATCATATATACGATAGAGAATGCACAGCAAAGCTACAAGCTCTACGTAACGCCAAGGGATCGACCGATACGCGCAGTCAAGTAAAGGGTCAAGTGGCAGCCCTAGCATCTCGTCCATCATATTTCTCTCCACACGTTAGATATCAATAGTCACGTGTCCACATATTACATATTCCAGTGTATTTAGGCTCAGTCTACTTCAAGTTTTTGAAGTGAGACTTCTTTAGAATCGTTGTGATTTGAAACTGGATGAAACGAAAATGCGTCACGATAAAGAAACAAACACATAAATGTATAGAATTAAGAGGGAGAGAGAATAAGATAGAATACACTACAGATCATTTTTAATATAATATTTTGAGTTTGTTTTTTTTTTTAATAATACAAGCTGGTACCCGTATTGGAAAAACGCTGCCTTAGTGGGTTCGATTCCCGGACCGGGCAAAATTTCTTAGGGTTTATCTGAGATAAAAAAAAAGAAAAAAAATAGCCTAAGTTACTCTTTATATAGACAACTACCTGGTAGTCAAATATTATCAAAATCGGTTTAGCCGTGTAGAAGATTGCCCAGAATAAACAGACAGACAAAAAAACTGGTTTTAAGGAATAAGTATCGTGCCAATAACCGTGTGAGCATGAAATAAATATTATTTTGACATTTCAAACAGACATTTCAATTTTATTTATTTATATAGAAAATATTTTTTTCGGAAGTTTCACTTCTGCCGTGTGTTAATTGCACACACACGCACACACATTTTTTTTTATGGAAGAGGAAGCAGACGACTGGTCACCTGATGGAAAGTGACTACCGACGCCCACGAACGCCTGCATCTGAGGAGTCAGAAACGCGTTGCCGCCCTTTTAGGAAGGAGTACGTTTAAGTTGAATTTCTTCTTTTGTCGTACGGTCTCCATTTGCGTAGACTTTTGTGCCGCGTTGATTTTTAAAGACCATACCATCAATTTCTTATGATGATTGTCTAGGCTCTTTACCAAAGATATATTTAGTTTTAATAACACACACATGCTCACAGACTACACATAATTACAAAATTATTCTCTAATTACAAAACATCATAAGATTTTATGTTTTGTTAAGCACTTTTGTAACTTTCTTTGTATTTCTAAATATATATATTATATTCAAACATAATCTTGAGATTAGGCAACTTATAATGTTTGTAATAGCCTTTATTTGGTGGCGTTACTCTTTTATATACGCAGAATACTCTTTTGAATGCGTGTTTCTTTTGACATGAAGTTTTTGAAAAATACTGTCTCTGTATTCTATTATACTTCTACATTAACTATCGCGAATCCTCAAATGGCTTTCAATATCTATTGACTTACTGTGATAGTGTTTATTTTTTCACAGATGTTTTCCAATACACAGCAACATCACTTATTGACAAACAGAAATTGTCTGAAAGCAGCGTCTAAATTTCATAAAGTGCTTCATAAATATTGTTACATTATGTTTTCAATCTCCAAAAATGAAAAAAATGTTGAGAGACATCCCCTTTAACCTCTAGCGGTCGGCGTCTACTCACGAATGCTTCGTTTTATTAGGACGTTATTCGTATGACGTACTAATATTTTCATTTTTACAGCTGGTGTATATTTTTTATATTTCACTTTCATTCTGTAAATTCGAAACACATGAGAAGCGACTCTCACATATGCACGCAGTTCAGCGGAATGCTTACATCGCCATAAAAACAACACCGTATTGTTGATGGAGGCTCCTCAAACGCCGCGGTATTCTTTTATTCAACGATCCCGGCAAAAAAATTATCGTGGCACATTTCAAGTAAGCAAAATGATATTTTCTTTGAAATTTTTTGATTCAACTTAAATCTGCCAGCTTAGCTGTTTGAGTATTTAAATATTTTATTGAACTTGCTTTAAATTATAATTGAAAACATTTAGGTTTTAAAACAAATGGACTGAAAAGGGACTCTGCAGTACATTTCATCTCAATGATCATTATTTCTGATCTCATTTAGAGTTTCTTACTTTTGTACATCTTGAACTTTGTCTTCTCATCGTAAAAGATACCATTTCTTAAACAGGTAATGCCTACTTAAAAACTCAGACACACCTATTTATAGTTCTACTATCAAAACTACCTGTTCTGCTCCGTAGGACCAGAACCAATAGAAAAAAAAGGAAAATAAATTATTATTTCGTACCTTGACAAAAATAACTCTGATAAGAGAACGATAAAGAGAACAAATCACGGAATGTTTCAAGAAGTTCATGTTTTCTTATTAGGTACAACCTTTAAAGGATTGAAATCCATTAAATAGACATTAGCTAAAGAGCCTGTAGGTCAAATGGTCAGTAATACTGCTGAGAAAGAGGTCGTAGATTCGATTCCCACACATACCCAGACCAAATCAAACATTAAGCGTTCATGCACACAAATGTTTAACTTGAGCGGGCATTGAACCCGCGACCTTTGGCATAGCAGTCCGTTACACAAACCACTACGCCATCCGGCCGATGATTACAATTTTTAAACAATATGTCGTGAAAAGTAAAAAATTATGTAAAAGCTGCTACAAAAAGATTTAGAAATCTACTATTTATTTTGACTTGTCAATTTCAATGA